TTTCACGCGGAACGAGAATTTCGAGTTTGGGAAATGTTAAAGAGTTAACGATTTGTAATCGTATTACTTTGTATCGATCGAGAGTGGAATATTATATTTAAAATAGACGTATAGTGCCTTTTCTCTGGGACTTATCTGGGATTTCGCTCTGATTATTTGAAATTTGAACGTGTTAGGAGGCACATTGGCATAAGAATTTCTAAATAACGATAAGTTAAGTTGATAGAATAGATAAGACGAGAGTTGTTTTTTTTTGTTCTTCTTCTTCTTCTTCTTCTCGTTCCTTTACGTATCTCTTCTTCTTTTTTTTTTTCATTTCTTTTCCTTTTATTTCCACTTTCATTATCATTATTATTACTATTATTATTATTATTATTATTATTATTATTTCTTTTCGTTGCGAGGAGTGAATGTTTGATGCCACTGCCTCTAATAGCAGCTGTTTTTAGACTACTTTTATACTGTTGATGTGACGCGCAGCTAATCAGAGTCAGTATATTACTGCCATAATCATGAAACGAAATGTATAACCAATATACCTTTATAAATAAAACACGACTGAAAAAGTAAAATGCCTCATTTTACTTTCAATTTGTTGTGTGTCTCTTGTCTCGCATCTACATTTCGATCGTTTATCATTCAGTTATACCTCCAATATATTTTTATGGTATAAATATTTTTATGACGAATAAAATACTGGTCGATCGAGAAACGAGGCATCGATCGAAGCGCATAGACCATCAATTTATCTATATATGGAAAAATACGCGTTACACAAATACAGGGAGAAGGGTATACATCTTCCATCAGATCTCGTGACGCTTTAACGTAACGTTAAAGAGAGAAAGAGAGACAGATAGAAAGAGAAAAAAAAAAGAAAAAAGAAAAAACGACGAAAAGCAAGACGGATGCAGGGCACACGAAGTGGCTCGACAAATATGTAGCCGGTCCATGGCTGCGTCCAGCACGAGCTGCACCCGTTTCCCCATAAATTAAACCCGTGATCGACTTTCTTAAACGACAACGACGTGACGCGGTATGCGTTTCTTTCGGCCCACAGCTAAGGTTATCGAGTTCCTGCTTCGATACGGCCGGTTTACCTTGCCGCACCCGTGCTGTAAACGTTGGACATCCAGCCCAACTGCTTGCATTTCTACCTTAACAATACCGAGTACGTATTATTCGCGAGAGCCGAGATAATGGAGATAATCGCCCCCTTTGTCGAATACTCCTGCTTCCGTTTCGGCCTGGACGGGGCTAATTGCAACTTTCATTAGACGAGACAATCGAGAGAAATTGGGACTGAGGATCGTATGAATAATTATCGGAGAGAAAGATTGTTAACATCCTGATCTTTTATTTCCTTTCTTCGAAGTTTTCTTTGTTGCGTAGAGATACAATTTTTTAAAAATTGGTGAGACAAAAATGTGTATGGATAATGAAAAATTGTTAATTATAATAACTTTGGTGGTGGCATAAGTAATATTCAATTATTGGATTTTTATAATTTGATAATTAAATATAAATTGTGTATTTTATTTATCACGATGTTTTTTTTTAATTACTAGCAATTGTGGGTTAGATACAAGTATTAGGGATAAAAGGGATGAGATCTATATCATATTATCGATATCCGTTTTGAAACTCAAAAATAATATAATAGATATATTTATGGTATATTGCGATAGACACAAAGACAAGTGAAACGATAAAAATTCCTGTAACGTATCGTGTAACTTGTTTAAGAAGGAGATGACTTACATGTTCGAGGCAGTATTTGCAGTAGGGCATGGATCACGCCTAAACGATCACGTATCCTCCCTCACGGATCGTGGGATCCTCCTTAGCTTGCTTGCAATAGCATCGGAGAACGCCAAAGGCTAAATGAAAGTAACGTGACCCCGAAGTGCGCGGGATAGTGTTCGCATTTGTAAAGGAAATTGCTATGCAAAACGCAGGGCGTCGACGCCAACAGAGTCGATTAAAAAAAAAAAAGAAAAAAAAAGAATTTCGATAATTTAATTCCGTTTTCTTAATAATAATAATTATTAAGATATCTTCATATCTTCGATATCGATTGGGTCAAAATTTCTGGGAAATTTGGAGATTTATTTTAATAGGAAGTTTTGTTTTATGCTATAGAATTGTATAAAATTTGATTATTATTTTATGATGAAATTATTGACGAAAAAAGGGATATTATTTATTAGTACTGTTCGCGAATACTAAGAGGGGAATGAAATTGCAAAGCTTTTCATTGGAAATATGGTTTATAATTAAAATATCGGGTGAAATATTTTCGAATTATTATAATATTATTATAATATTTAAGTAAGTTAAATAAACACAAGTTGATCCAATCGATAAATTTTAACATATTTATATGTAATTGCGCTCATAATTAAAGATAATGCAAATGGACGAAAGAATCTTTTCAATTGGTAAGATAAATCCGTTAATTTATTCGTTGGTTATCTTTCTTGGTAATTTATGCAAAATTTATGCACTTCAGAGGAAGTTCAATTAGTTTCACGTGAGAAATCTTGTAGTAAGTAAGATCATGGACAAGGTTCTTGTCACAATCTCTTAATTATAAATGCATGATCGAGTATCTTATTTACCTTTTGTTCATTTCCGTTATTAAACGCAATATGTAAATTTCCATCGTTGTTATTAACGAGTAATAGTAAATTGTTTGAAACCTTCGTTTCTCGTAAATGATTCGATTTAATAAATTATAATTCTTTTTAGAAATTTTATCTTTTAAAATAAATAATTCGAAATATACGAGTAAATTAACGAGTATATTCTAAGAAGTATTTAATAAAAAGGTTAGTTTTTCTTCAAAATAAATTACAACAAATTACTATGATACAATATACCAAAAATTTACATTATAATACACATAACAATTTCTCACATCGATTTTATGCTTTATTAATTTTGATAAATTCTTATGAAAAAAAAAATTCACGAATTAACAAATTTTTAAATTATAATCCAATTATTCATCTTATCCAAAAAACAATTTCAAAATAACCAATATTAATCTACATCCAAAAAGAAAAAAAGAAAAATTACAAAATCACCAATAATCAATTTTCCCTCAAATTTAAAAATAAAATTTTCCAAAAATAATCTCTCTAATGCATAATGCAAAAATAATTTACAATAAAATTTACAGAATTTTTGACTTTCAAAATCCTATAAAAAAAAAAAACAATCCTTATTGTCATTTTCTCTCTCCCCCCCTCCTCCTCCCTTCTAATCACACTCTACTTAGCTCTTGCTAAACGTGTAAGAGTAACCATCCGGAGTCCTGTTGAAGTTCAGCTTTCCAGGTGGATAAAACCTTCGTGGGGGTGGCGTGGTTATCGCGTTGTATTGTGGCAATGGTCTAGGAGGGGGTTGGTATTGCGGTTGAGGATTGTACGAAGGAATAGATTGGATTTCCGGTGGTGGTTGAGGAGGCCTTGGTTGGTACTGTTGCGGTTGGGGTTGATAAGCTGGTCGAGGTTGAAATTGAGGCTGAGGCTGAGGTTCCGGTTGCACTTCGTACACTGGTTGACTCCGTTGCTGATATTGTTGAGAGGATGGAGTGTAACGCGGTGGTTGATAATCGGGTGGGTTGTATTGCGGCAGAGGCACGTACTCTGGCTGTGGCGGGGCTTGCGGGGGTGGGACGGGAATGCCGTCGCCTGTCGCCTGTTCGTTCAAATAGAAGAGGAGAAATTTGGATTGGAGTGTCACGTTTAAGCGAAATGGCAAACATTAAATAAAATATTATATCAAGTACACGTCATTTAATTAATTTCGTTGATTAATCATGAATTATATATATAATAATCGGGAATAATATTCTATTTGTAAGTTTATTAAATTTACTGTTTTCCAAATATTTGAATATTTTTCGTGTTTAAGAAATAAAATAAGATTAAATTGAGATTAACATACCTGGAAGCCATTTTTACCAGCCGTATATGTCACTGTGCGTCTTTGACCGGTAGGATCCACGTAGGAATAAGAGCCACGACGATTTCCGTAAACGTCGCTTTCCTCCTTGAACTCGACGCCATCCTCTTGCGAATAAGCGGCGCCGAAAGTTCCATCCCCAGCCAAATATCTCGCATCGCTCAAAATTGCAGCTTGTTGGGGTGACTGGTATTGATTATTAGGGGATTGGCAGGAGATCGATGCGATCATGGAAAACAGTAACACCTGAAGGTATGAGAATTAAACAAATATCCGTAGAAACAATATCGTATCCATCTTTTTATTAAGAGTTCAAACGGAAAGAAATTTGAGTTACATGACGATAAAATCGCGGCGTGTATTACAAAGTAACAATGGTCAATGGTGGTGCATTCATTACATAGTTTCAAGAGTACGTCACAGATGGAACGAGGAAGTGATCGACGATCGAATGTTGACAATGCACCATGGAGAGCTACGATGTATAATCGAGAGCGAGTACTTACGAATACGGCATCCATAATGGAGGAACAACGACAACGGGGCGACGAGAAGTACAACAGTGCTCGAAGGATCGTCGAGAGGGGCGTTTTATACGGCAGATTGGATCACGTTGACCTGAAGAGGCCTTGATGGCCGCCCGCGCGCCCCGGCTACGGAATAATGCAGATTGCACTATGATCTTCTACCACGCCTTTCCATTGCCACTCAGCTTTCCTCTTGCTAACGTGCGCTGACATTTCTCGAATCGGAACTGTTACAGTATTGTATTAATAATAAATATTATTATCTTTATCCTAGTGTTAATATTTGCAGTCATTTGTCAGTTTTCTGAATCATTGTAGGTGTGTTGCAATCCATATTTGTTAATTCACATAAACGGGGGATGTTTATTTATATAAAATTAAGAAAACTGGATATACATATATATTTGATGATTATTGAATTATTATTATGTAATAATTAATGTATAGTAATAATAAATAATATATTGTAATTTATTGTCTATATTTTTTAAATTAAGATCAAGATATATTGTAGTTTCGAAAGAAAAATGACGAAAGTGTGTTCAATCGATATCCTGTATTTATAATAATTTGTATTGAATCACGCGCCATCTGAGGAGACAAGGAAAGTAAATAATAAGAAAAGGATAGAGATAGATTAAAAATTCGGGAATCAGCGCCATCTCCAGAGTGCCGCAAATGAAACATGAAAAGAAAGGACAGAAAATAATAGGAGAAGGATAGAGATAGAATAAGAATTGATTTTCGGCGCCATCTCTTAAAAACTGTCTGAAACTTCTCCTATTGAGGGTTCTAAATACTTTCGAGAGATGGGGCCATTTGTCTATTCTTTTATTAATTCACAATATAAATAAGACAAGGAAAGTGAATAATGAGAAAAGGACAAAGATAGGATAAAAATATTGCATTTAGCGCCATCTTCAGAGTGCCGCAAATGAAACACAAGAAAAAAGGACAGAAAATAGTAGAAAAAGGATAGATACAATAAGAAGTGACTTTCAGCGCCATCTCTTGAAGACTGTCTGAAACTTCTTCTATTGAGGGTTCTAAATACTTTCGAGAGATGGCGCCATTTGTTTATTCTTTTACGAATTCACAATATAAATAAGACAAGGAAAGTGAATAATGAGAAAATGATAGAGATAGGATAAAAATATTGCATTTAACGCCATCTTCAGAGTGCCGCAAATGAAACACAAGAAAAAAGGACAGAAAATAGTAAGAAAAGGATAGATACAATAAGAAGTGACTTTCGGCGCCATCTCTTGAAGACTGTCTGAAACTTCTTCTATTTAGGTTTCTATATATTTTTGAGAGATGGCGCTAAGATCAATTCTTATGCTATCTCTATCTTTTTCTACTATTTTCTGTCCTTCCTTCTTGTGTTTCATTTGCGGCACTTTGAAGATGGCGCTGAATTTAATATTTTTATACTATCTCTATCCTTTTCTCATTATTTACTCTCCTTATCTTACTTGTTCTATATTTATCTCCATAAGAGGAGGCTCCGATTTGACTAATTTTGATTAATTATCTTCGCTTTAATTTTTTGCTTAAAAAATCGTAACAGACACTGTAATTCTCTATATATACAATATAGAATGCACATGAAATAGATCGCAGAGGATATAAAAACCATTTCGTCTTTTTTTGGAGATCGATCCCCTAAAATCTTACCCGCTTCGTACCATATGCGTGATTGTAATATTTTTCTAACACTTCTAGTTTAATCCCTTTATAATTCGGTGAGCACGGATGCAGACGTCGGTAAGGTAGGAACATTAACTTACCGAGACAAGGTCGGATTACCGATACAATCGGCATGATCAAAAGCGTTTGAAAAGTTGCAATCTTCGGTGAGTAAACATCGCCACGTGACTCCTCCACTCGATGTTATCCACATTGGGACAGAGTAGGATCAAGCGAAGCGCGAACAGCAAAGAAGATTCGCATAGAAATAACGTAACGGAGAAAGAGCGACGGGGTTCGTTGTGTAAATAATTGAAATACTAATCCCCTTTCCCGAGGTATAGTGTCAGTCACCGGCATTTAGGAGTGCGTGCTCGAGAGGGTGTGACCCCGGAACGATGCGCGCCGCAAAAGCGGAAAGCAAACTTTACACGCACTCGGCCCGCGGCTATACACGTGATTTTGCATGCGAATACTTCAGGCTGTTTTTCTCCTGTCTCTTCATCCCCTTTACGCATGATAAGATGCCTGTGTCGGACATAAATATAAATTTTTCACTAATCTTTGATAACATACCACTTTTATAGAATATTCCGATATATAATTCTCCACGAAATTTTTTTCCATGAAAATATGGCTTTGATCTTTGAAAAATAAATTTTGGAAATATATCTCACGTATAATTTCTCTCAACATATTATTTTCAACCAGAAAACAAACTATCAACAATCGCGTTTATTTACAACCGCTCGAACTTCGTTTCTTTTCAAGTAAGAGGGTAGCATGAACGGGGAGAGGGGGAAGGGGGAGGGCACATCACAGGGGCCCAAGGAAGCCGAGATGACGTTCGAGAGGGAAGACGCGATCCACGGGGTCCTTTCGTCCAACAATAGGTAGGTAAATGCGGAACAAGAAGCTCGGAACCTCGAATGACCGCCTACAGTGGATAATGAGGAAGAAATTAGTGGTGCGTGAAGGTACGAAGAGGCCACCTGTGCCTTACCCTCCAGTACTCTTAGCCCTAGAAAACAGGCGCTCGTACGTATATATATATATACCATCGTCCTTCGCGTCGTCACTCCTCCCACGCCCTTATTTTTTTAAAAAGGACTCGCCTCGTGACGCGAACGGGCACAAAGGTACTCCTCGAAGGCATTCAGCCGGCATAGATCCTCGATAAAACATTGAATGCTCCACGTCCATTCATGTCGTGTGTCGTTTTCCTTTCCCCTCCTCTCCTCGCCTCTTTCTTTCTTTCTTTCTTTCTTCCTTCTTTGATTGTCGTTCCATCGCGGCCCTTCGACCTCGGAAACGCGATGAAAACGACGTCTCTCATCTCGATCTAGAGGTACATGGGCACGCATGATGCCGTCAACTGTGGTGTAGCGAGGCTGTCAGTGAATTTCGACAAGAGTCTTCTGGTGCTGTTTATCGGATTCTTTCATGGAACGTTGGAGAAAGAATAATAAGTTGTAAGGGGATGTCATAGGTGTTTTTGAGATTCTTTGGGTCGATTTATTTTATATATCCTCGTTCGAATCGATATTTTTGAATTTTTTATTCTTTCGTGTGTTCGTTTTCCATCAAAGATCAATTAAATTAATCTTCGTCCATTAATATCGAAGGGATCAATGAAAAAATCTCGACTCTCGTCAAGATGATCGACTCGCCTCTTTCCTCTTAATCAATCGAGCGAATTATCGCGTGGCCAAATCTGTATACGTCCAGATCGTTGGTTAATTAAATCCTCTACTTCTCCTCATCCAGGAGTGGATGTTCTTCATATTTTACCCGTGATCGTACCGCGTCATCAGCAGTGATAATGGAAAATAATTTGTCATTCCGCGGAGGGAAAAGGGGAGGAGAGCCGGATCGCGTTAAGTGATTTGTCCTTGCCATCTGCGGGAGCCGGCATTATACTCGAGGAGTGAATGTAGATCGCCCGATTTTCGGGGAGGGCGGCTTTTGGAGCTCTGTCACCAACGGCGAAATATTAGTGTCAAACAGGACGTTATCCATCCACCAGAGTGCACACGAATCAATCATTTCATATCTTTTGAGAATGTATTCTTGAAAAGAGAATCTCGCCTTTGATACGTATTTTTCTTTGTACACAATTATTATCATTATTCGTCACGCAGATTTAATTACTCTTCTTCGACTCCTTCCATTATCGCAGTTAAAACACGTTACTGCTTTTCTTTTAAAAAACAAAAGCAAAATTGATTAAACAGAAGGATACAGAGATTCTTATATATTGCTCTGCAATATTTTAAATACCTAAGAATGCTTCAAGAATAACAAATCTTTCTCATACAAATACCTATATATATATATATTCTATCCGTAATTCACGTACATCAACAGTTTGATCGACTTAAGAGGCTCTACAGATTTCGATCGTGCGATTTCTCCCCCCTCTATTCCTGTCTTTGGTGAGAATTCCACGTGTAAAATCGGGAGAGGGTGAGCAACGAGAGGAAAGGCGGTCTCGACACCTTAATAGAAAGAAGCAAGAGTTGCCGCGAGATTTCACAATGGCGCAGCGGGCGTTCGCGATATAAATATTTGTCTTGGAGAGGAGAAGGCGAGATCCCTTGGGTGTGGGCAAGTGCGAGAGAGAGTGCAGGCAAACCGAAGGGGGTCGAGATATAATGGCGACACAAGGTGCACGGTCGAGGCGACGTGTGCTGGCCGCGTACGTGAATACGCTAATGCATGTGAGTCGGCACACTCGAGCGAAGGAAAAGAAGCACACTCGAGAAACAAAAAAAAAAAGAAAAAGGTAAAACCTTGGCGATGGATCGGCCCGCATATCTTCGTCAACCGTTTGTGGGAAAGTTTTTTCGGGGAATATGAAGCGTCGATCGTGTTTCCATTGTGCCCTTTCATCCTCGTACGAGGAAAATTTTAACGAATCGCGATACGAATTAACCGATTTTAAATTTCTTTTCTTTTTCGTGTCTGCAATTGGTGAGCTTTTTTTTTTCAAAAGTTAATTATCAGATGTATATATAATTATACATAACTATTTAGAAATATTTCGACAAGAGAGATTTTCTTTTAATTGAAAAGAATTTTGCACGCGATACAAAATGTAATTGAAAATCAGAACATTTTATCAGCTTTCAGAATTGGTCTAATTATTTTCTGACGGGATTCCCAGAGACGAACGAACTACGCATGCGAGAATGGGCGGGTGTTGGAAGAGGCGTGGTGAACCCCTAACAGGGTTCGCAGCATCCCTTATTATTAAAGATCTTTCTGTAATATGACATTGTTAGAATAAGGATTTCTGTTTATTATTTTAAAAACCCAAGAGGTGATAAATATTATTAATTTCATAATTAATTGTATTAACATTATGTATATATATATATATGTAGAAAAGTAATATGTTTCGAAA